TGTGTGCGTGCGTGCGTGCGTGCGTGCGTGCGTGCGTGCGTGCGTGCGTGCGTGCGTGCGTGCGTGCGTGTCTGTGTGCCTTCCTGCGTGCCTTCCTTGCTTGCATGCCTGCCAATACCCGCTTGCTTACAGGCCTGCCTGTGTTGTCATGCCTCACGTACCCACGACGTATCACCATTCCCCCGTTGCCGGCAGTCGTGATTTCTACGCTAATGTCATTTTCCCGTGGCCTCCTGCGCGCACGACTAATGACGTTCTTTTGTTTGCGCTCTCGCGCCTTGCCCGCGCGTCTGCCTCGCCCACAACACGGCAACTCGTTACACAACACGGCGCTTCGTCGCGAGACGCTGATGCAAGCGCTTGCGGCTTGAAACACTTCTCCGCGAAAAGAACCTCTCCGAAAAGTCTCGGGGCAGGAAATCGATAGTGCAGTCTACGCGTCTGTGTCCGCGCGCGCGTGTGCTGGGTGGTGTCGGTGGCGAGACAGACGCGAACTCGTGCGATTCTCTCCTCACGCCAGCGTCCACTGCGGGACACGCAGGGCACATGTACGGACGCGCTGTGTGTGGCGCACCGCGGGGAAACTCGTGGGCCGCCCGAGCGTTTTCGATATTAAAGTGGATGAACCTCGCAACAAAAAGCCTACATACACCTACTGTAAGCATACTTGCAGTATGCAAACATCACGAAATGTTCTTATTGCGCCAGAAATGTGCTCCAAATTTGACCATTTTAAAACTCCGTCGGACGGGGTTTTGGCGTAGAGATACACATAGAGCGACGTGACTGAGAACGCTAGAGAGTAGGCCTATATGCTAGCGCAAATAGTTCCTGGAAAGAAAACACTATATTTGTTTGTTGATTGCATAAGTAATGTAGATTACACATGATTTAAACAAATTTCACAATTTTGTACTGAACAAACATCGAATACTAAATTATAACTTGTTTTATCATAGAAAATAACTGTTAATGAAAACTGCGATCGGCTCGGCTGTGTCCCAGATGTGTAAACACTGTAAACATTCGAACGTACTAGTTTCGTGGGGCTGTTTAGGTTTGCTGGAGAAATGTTATGAAAGTAGCAATACAAACGAGTTGTCGTGAATTTTTACCAACATAGACGAGCTCACAGTAGGTATATCTATGCATTTTGCTGCGAGAACATGCCGTTTTAAATCGTTGGCGGTCAACTGTTTTTGCTGGGCGCGCGGCACTGCATGTCGTTTGTTATCTGCACGCGCACGGCGTCGATCGACCGCCACGCGACAATAACCGATGATTACAACCGCAGACGCGTGTCGTCGCTTTGACTTCGCATTTAAAAATCAGCTGCAGTGCAACGTCTCCCGTGAGTGCGCCGTGCATGCACCCCGAATCACTCTTACCGAACGATCAACGTAGAGGAGATGTCGACAGAGAGGATTTCGTTATAATGTTACTCTGTTACAGCGCATTCAATGCAATTCGGCGGTGTGCAATTTTTAGTATACTCGAATTTTCCGTAACGAACCGCTTGCGTGGAGAAATCAGCCGATATTTGCTCTCACCTTCATGCATGATTCCCACAATCCAATATAAATTTACCGAAACGCCAGCGTGTAAAACTAGATTCACCCAACTCGCTATGCGTCGTGGCCTCACGATGCCTCGCGTAGCCGATCGAAAGTACCTCGGCAGCGGCAGCAGTCTAACTACGCTAGCAATGCCGATGTACAGCAGAGATCATATATATATATATAATAGATATAGATAATAGAAGTGCGGCTGCATGATAGTGCCTACCGGGATCGTGTGAGATCGCCTTAAAAGGTCACGTACCTTTAGATTTCTCGGCGAGATCTCGCGAAACACGGTCACCTCTTTCTCCTTCAGGTCGACGTCCTTCAGCGGGAAGATCACCTCGCCGATGACGTCATCGCGCGAGTAGCGATCGAAGCTGAGCACGACGAAGTGCAACATGACGCCGTACAGCTGGTTGTAGTTGAGGCCGTAGAAGGTGAACTCCTCGTTGTAGACGGGGTCGAGCGTCTTGCGCAGCACGCGCGTCTTGACGCGATGCTGCCTCTCAGGCAGCAGCTGCAGCTTGATGTACGGGTCAGAACTGCCCATGTTGGCGTCCTTCGCCGGTAGGTTGCTCGCCTTCAGGATCGACACGAGCAGCGCCGTCTTCTCGAAGTTGTACTTGACAACGAAGTTCAGCTCGCCGAGGCCGTTGCCCGCCGACTTGAGACTCTTGTCGCCGTCCGACGCCTGCAGTGGTCCGCCGCCAGGCGACAGCACGCGGCCCTCCTTTTCGTTCTCGATGTGGCAATGCACCATGCGCTTCAGATCCGTGACGTCGGCGGGCGACGTGTCGGCCGACCGCGGCGACTTCTTCTCGCTGCCGCCGAAATCGCGGTGCGGTTTCGTCGGCGACGGAGTCTTCTTGGCGACGACGTGTACCGTCTTCACGCCGCTCGGCGACGTCATGAGACTACCTGCAAGTGTAACGAGATGCAACGTTGCAGTGTTAATTAATTACGCAGGGAAAACATACCGCGTATTAGTTACCTTACTACTATATTTAGTGTTGATGATAGTTAGGGAGGGTGACCCTGCCCTGTATTAGTTACCCTACTAGAGTTTAGTGATGATTAATTACGCAGGTAAAATATACCATGTACTAGTTATCCTACTACTACGTAGTGTTGATAATAGTTATGCAGGGTGACTCTACCCTGTATTAGTAAATTTATTATTGAGTGCTGAATATAGTAAAGGAGGTACGTAGGTCCTATACCGCGTATTAGTTACCGTACTATTATTTATTACGTGTCAATTCGTTATGGAGTGATGTCCTAACCTGTATTAATTGTTGACTATGTATATTTATTATTTAAATGGTTATGACTCCACGTTAATTAACAACTATAACTAGGAGGGTTCGTGATTTACACTTTGCAATCTCATTCTGGAAAGACAATTCGTATGCTAGTAGCTTTAAGTTAAAAATTTAATGTTGTATAGCCGTAGGCAATCTTATTCGACCGAGTACCCGCATTATGTTTACCTAATCGAAGCTGATTGCGCGATAGTCGGTCGCATGAGTACGCCGCACATTGAAAGCTGTCATGTTAATTATTCATGATGTTTTGCTGTTACATTACACCCGATTACTTCCACCTGTGTCGACCACTGCAGTCACACAGACCTCTGCATCGCGTCGTTTTCCTTGCAAGTATTCGAGCTGTCCACGACGCGCCGCTGCATGCCGTATAACTAAGATAAACGACGGCTGCCATCATCCGATACTTTACATAGTATAAAGCGAGGCGTTGGATCTCACCTTACTTACTTACGTGCACCGCCCGCACACGGCATAAATTCCGCAATTTATCGCGCTGTTTGTCTCCACGGGCAATCAATAGCTGTCTCGCATCGTCACAGGCGAGCAACATTCACCTGCGCCGGCGACGACAGGCCGATCGAGCACGCTGTACTCCGTCGTTATACGTTATTATGGTATCCGGTGCAGTCTGCGCATGCGCGCCGCCCTTCGAATGGCTGGCTGACGCCAGTAGCAGAAACCGTCTTAGTGACGATGTTGGCGATGACGACGACGACGACGACGACGGCGACGAAGACGATGACGATGATATTAATAATATTGTGATAATAATAATAATAATAATAATAATAATAATAATAATAATAATAATAATAATAATAATAATAATAATAATAGAAATAATGATAATAATAATAATAATAATAATAATAATAATAATAATAATAATAATAGAAATAATGATAATAATAATATTATTATTAATAATAGTGCTCGATTAAAAATTAGGTCCCTGTTTTGGATACGGTTGATAAAGATTTAATGACCGATAATAGGAAAAAATATCAAAAACCGTATACCGTGCGCTTTGGTTCATTGTGCGTTTATTGCCGGCGGAAAGCGAAAAACCGATGTAATTGCCATACGTAATAATAATGATAATTAGTCGTCCTTCAGGACGCCCCTAATTTTTCATAGGGGTTTCGGTTGCGCATGTAGTAGGAGACACAAGGCGCTACTCCATATGTTCCCGCAGTTTCCATCAAACGCCATACATAAACAGTGTGTAAACATAATGCTCGTATATCCTCTGCGAAGGTATGCAATATCCATTAGTCTTCAAATACGCGTGCTGAATTTCTACGTCATATGCACTGACGGTTAATTTCATTAGCTCTTTTACGTCGATAACGTAATAACCATATTTTTAATGATTAGTACAGCAGTTGCTATGGTGATTAAGACAACATTAAACGCCGAGTAGTGACTGTGACTCTATTAATGATTAACCAAAAACAGAAGTAACGGAGATCCACGATCATCCTCGTTATACTGATGGATGCTGACAACCTAACGGTATAGTTACGACGACGAACATTATTACCACTGCCTTCGCCGGGCGCATGCGTATTGCCTTTGACTATTGGAAAACGCGAGAGCCATAGAACGCCGCACGACGCGGCAATCAAATTATTAAATTATTGCGTGTTTTCACCGAGCGCGAGCTCCGGAGCAGCCTCATTGTGAGATGCCACCGGGTGCCCGCCAGTCCGCCTCCGTCTCGCGCGTGTCAACGCCATACGCTGAGTCACTGCCATCGAGGCAGGCGACTGCTGTTCTACGCACCTGTCGGCTTCTCCTGAAGCGTTTTCTTAATGGCAGACGAGAGCTGACTGGCGTCGTTGCGGCGACGGTAGCAGACGTAGACAACGGCGACCATAACGGCGAGAAACAGACTACCGCCGACGCAAATCACAACGAGCGCCGGCGTGGATATTTTCTCTGCAGGCACTGCAACGAACGCACATTATTATAATAACGTCTCGGCTCCATGTCCCATGCATAATGAAATGCGACAATCGCTGGACAGGTAGAAAAACGTTGACGAAAAAATAATGACAGGCGAAAGTAATTAGAACACGAACAGTCCCGACAGCCTCCTCATGGTAGGGGAAGGAGATTATCTTATTGTGGTAGGTGTACAGCGGGGTAGTCTAGTAGTGGTAGGTCTAGTAGCAGCTTAGTGCAATCTAGTCTAATTAGCGCCGGAATATACACCTGGGTGTTGTAATCCGGGCACGAACACCGGCGCATTGAAAGAAGTATTAAGGGAAATGAAAGTATAAGGAATCGCTGGCCGCATCGCGCTTTCACGCCAGAAATCAAGGCGTATATCTTTGCAAGAAACGTAAGATGATTACATGTTATAATCGAATGATAGCGGCGTTTCCGGAGCACGCACGGTGCGCGCGGGAGCGTCAAATATTGAGTTTTTCGTTTGTTCGCGCCCTCGCAGCTCGTGCGCTGTGCGTCTGCTGATCGCATTGCAGCGGGATTTTGGTGTTGCTCGAATGCTTGCCTGAATAATTCAGATAAGAAAAATTCTCCCGCGCTGGGGCTGCGCGCAGCGCCTGTGTTGTCTTTACGAATAAACACGCGAATGTTCTTCTCAATTACTGCCGTGCGTGCGTGTGTGTGCGTGCGTGCAATTGTGAACGCGCGTGTTCAGGTGTGTGTATATGTGTGTGTGCGTGTTCGTGTGTGTGTGTGTGGGTGGGGGGGGGGTGCGTTTGCGCGCGCGCGTTCTCCGTGTGTGCATGCGCGTGTGTGTGCGCATATAGGCATGCGGGCGTGTACGTGTAAGGACATGCATAAGGAAAAATCACGCAAGCTAATAAAATTTTTATGACGAAGGATGTATAGTCGCCCACGTTCATAAATATTGTAACAGAGAGAGAAACACAGATCGAGAAAATGAGAAAGAGAGAGATAGAGATAGCTGGGGTAGAGAAAGAAAATTGGGGGAGAGAGAGAGAGCGCGCGAAAGAGCGAAAGAGAGAGCGAGAGCGAGAACGAGAGAGCGAGCGTATCGAATAGGATTGAAACTAGTGAGCGAATACATGCGCAAGCTCATCAGGTTCCTAGGGCGAAAGCATCAGCAAATCGTTTGACGTGGTTTTGGCATCATGATTCTATAGCGAACGGTTATAATAATCGTAATATCAGCAGTAACGTGTCTGGCGCGAAATTTTAACAAAGCGCACGAGTTGCTATAGCTAGCTATATAATAACGCTAAATGCTCCCGGCGATCGTAACATCCTACTGCAAGCCTCCGCCGTGAATAATTAACGCAAATTTATTATTATTATTAACCTTGCCATTAGTCTTTGAATTTAAAATTATATCAGCGATCCCTAGACGCAGTTACTCGCCCTTAAGCTGCATATACAATTTCGTGCGCTCGCGCACATCAACAACTCATCCGCATATGGCGAACGGAAATTATGTTCGCGAAACGGATAAACCGACTCCCGATTGCATGGTGCAGCAGAACTCGCAGCAGAAATGCTCTTCGCATGCAAATGATGAACAGCTTTCGCCGCCCATCTCGGTAGATGCAAGCATCTTCCCTTGGCGCCTTTGCAGAAAATATACATTGCTAATTCAGAGAGGAACCCTTTCAATTTGTTACTATCAGTGCACGCACCGCCGAGGTCCACCGCCGCATGTTATTTAACAATTGATATCGTATTTGATCAGCAACCGCGATACGCGTGGCGAACGCACCGAGATCAATACAGAATGTTTGCGCAACATAATTATGTTTTGTTTGAAGAAATTTCGGGCGCAACGCGCACTTTAGGCGTCATAGCGGCTGTCGTGTTCGGAACATAGAAAGCGGACCCTTGTATCAAACTGGAGTGCAGCGTAAGTTTTTTTTTTATCGTAATGGAGGATTTCTGGTTAGCAATATTAAAGTCTTTCATCTTCGCGAACAACATCTGTGAGAGAAAGTGTGGCGTCGTTAAAATCCGGGTGGACATGCGTGAGAACAAAACGCGCGAAACAAGTGTATATGTTATGCAAGTATCGTTACAACTATATGAATACAATCTTCTATTGAATGTATATTTTGAACATTTGCAGTTGTAACTCGATCATGCCTGAATAGGAAGCGCGTGTTCCCTTTATATTTTATACAGAGGCCGTCATAACTTATTACTTGCATATAATGCGTGTAATATCCATACATTTCATGCTGTTATTGTTGGAGCTCGAAAATTGCTATTAAGTGCATATAATGCCAGTATAATATTTCATCAAAGTTGCATCGCTAACTAATAGCGGAGTTTAATCAAGTGCGTAATAAGCATACTTAATACGCTCTTGGTGTAATGTGTTAATATCTGCATATTTTACGCAAATACAGTTGCAATTAATGCCTGAACATAACGCGCGTATTTCCTTTATATATATACTTCATACAGTAATAAAGATAACGCATAGGCCTAGCTATATTTAATAGCTAATAATACCCTTATTACTTTTTATAGCTATTAAAGCGCGCGTGATAACTGTAAATTTGATGCAGTTACAGTAGTAACTAATTGGTTGCTATAGCGCACGCAAGCCCTGTATATTTCATGCAGCTGCAGCTGTAACCACTAGTCAACTACCCGAACAGAACGAATTTTGCACAGGGGAGAGATAGTGATCCGCTAGGGGACGGCTCTGATTGGCTAATTTTGTCTCTTATTTATTTTATTATTTATTATTTTTGGCTAATTTTGTTTTATTTTAGAATTAGGGATAGGGTTAGGGTTAGGGTTAGGGTTAGGGTTCGGGTTACAATTAGGGTTAGGGTTAGGATTAGGGTTAGGGTTAGGGTTAGGGTTAGGGTTAGGGTTAACTGATTTCTATATCCACAACGTATTTCTATATTCACTATCTCTCCCCTGAGACCTACTAGAACAGAACGCGTAAACTTACGCGCGATCACTAGTTTCTCCATCGCGTTCAATATGGCTGACGACGATACAAGCTGACGAAACGATCCTCGGTTGTCTGCCGGAGCAATGTGCGACGGCGGTCGATGTAACAACGTAGACGCGCAGAGGACTCTACGTGCAGGACGTCGATTGTAATGCCTCTGATGACGGACGAACTCTTCTCATTCACTGCTACATAATCGCATCGTTAACCGATGCACGTAAACAAGGCGGAATTCTTCGCTAGCAATTCGTTGTTGCCGAGCGCTTCCCTAGTAGAGTCGGTGCTGTTGCTGTTGTGTATATTGGTTAGAATTGGCCGTCGTCGGATCGCAGTGCGTGCGTTAATGTCGATGCGGGAACAACTATCGTCGGTACTGAGGAGGCTGGCAGCCGCCTATGCCGTAGGATGGCGATCGATCGATATCCCCGTTCCTTGCTATAGCGCTGCTACGTGCGGAATAGCGCCGACAGACAGTACGCCCTGCGGAACGCGGTATACGGCCAGAAACATGATTGGGAGAGCGGATTATTGGCGCTAACAAATACAACAACGCAGACGCGTTACTAATTCGGGGGTTCATCAATAAGCGCGTAGATGCGCAGCGTGCTGCCCTCTGGTGCTAATAGATGTGACCATTCGCTGGCAGTCGTGACTACTTATAATATACGCAACGTTACGCATAGGCACACGTAAATGATAGCTGCGGTGAGATGACGCATACATAGGGAACGAGGGAGAAAAGTGATCTGGTAATAATAAATGACAAGATGGAATAACAGAAAAATTGTTAGACAGGGCTAAGAATTGACAACGGAGGGAGAGAGGGAAAGCGAGACACGCACAGAAAAACGGGAATGGTGCGGGAAGAAG